TTTGGTCCAGAGTAGCATTTTAATTTGTTTAAACATGAGAACGCGACGTGAGCGGTTGAGCGGTCGTGTCCGCTTGCGTCGCCTCGGCAAGAGAGGTCTCGTGTACTGACCTTCGCACATCGTACCTTCGCCGTGAAATGTTCGCGCGTCGCAAGCATCAAGTTGTCGGTAATCGCTGCCAAACCGAGTACAATGTCGTCCCGTATTGAAAATTGCAGTCGCGAGGATACCGCCGACGTCGCACTTACGACGCCGCCAAAGCAGCCGCCGACATAATCCTGGAAGCCGCCATGTTTTTTTAACTGTGCTCGTCTTGGATTTAGCCAACTGCTCATCACGAATCCTCCTAGGAGAAGCGCAAAGACTCTTTGCGTACGCACGCTATTTCCGAGAAATAGCGCACGCTAAAATTGCGCACGCAAAGCGCAAAACCTGGTTTGCGTTTGGAGCATGCGCAGTGGTGACGACGCTATTCTTTGCGTACGCAAAGCTTTAGCGTGCGCTATTCTAAAACTCCCTATTTCTTCATCGTACCTGACGTTTTGAAGCGGGTTCAGCGGCTCCTTGTTCACGCGTGACTCGAGCTACGGCCGCCGAAAGTGAAAAGGTAGAGTGGCAGACAAGGGTCATGTAACGGGCGCGTCGCTGCGGCGAGACGCCGAAACACACTTGTCCCGAACGGTGGAATGTCCGCTCGTGCTTTACGCGTTCCTCGGGCTATCGCTTCTTTTCTCGTCGGGTTTGAAAACCATGTTTCGGGTCCTCGCCGCTGCGAAAGCCCTGCGCTGAATGCAGGCTCCCCGACAAACGCTCTGTGCTACCAGATCCTCGCGCTCCAAATCTGCGACCGGGCACTCTACGGCTCCGTCATCGAACTGCCAGGCTTTGTAAGTATAAGGAGTATTCACTGGCGGCCATAGCTGTGTGCGCGACTGCTGAGCGCGTGCTGGCGGCGAGCTTCCACAGTTCTTTTGCAACGTGCATTCCGCACCATCAAGATTGCCGGTCTTAGCAACCTATTAATGTGAGCTCGTTCTGAGCATGCGCTCTAAACAGCACCGACAAATATGGCGTCCAGTGAATACTCCTTATAGGTGGTATTCACCGGCGGCCATAGTTGAGCTCGCTGCTGCTGAGCACGTGTTGACGTCAAGCTTCTACAACGCTTCCAACACCCACATCCCACACCGTAGAGATTGTCTTCTTTGGGAGGCCATAGATAAGAACTAATTCCGTACATGCGCTGTCAGCACTCACCTCAAATATGGCTTCCAGTGAATACCACCTATAAAGGAGGCTTTGGTACAGTGTACCCAAAAGTGACAATCTGTCGTAATCTTCTTCTTTCTGCAAGTATTGCATCCTTTCTCTTCTGTTTGTGTATGTGACGCATCGTAGCACGTGTATATGGCAGCTAGTATGGAGGGTATTCACTTGGAGGCATATTTGAGTGCACTGTTCACTGTGCATGCTCGGAACGAGATCACATTCATACGAGACCGGCAACCTCGCGATGGTGCGGACTGTACGTTTCGAAAGAACTGTGGAAGTTCGCAGTCAGCACACGCTCAGCAATTGCGCACTGAGCTATCGCCACCAGTGAACACTCCCTACAGGGAGTATTCACTAGCGGCCATAGCTGTGTGCGCGAATGCTGAGCACGTGGTGATGGCGAGCTTCCACAGTTCTTTTGCAACGTGCATTCCGCACCATCAAGAGTGCCGGTCTTAGAAGCCTATTGATGTGAGCTCGTTCTGAGCATGCGCTCTCAACAGCACCCACAAATATGGCGTCCAGTGAGTACTCCCTATTCGCAACATTCACGACTTATAGGGAGTGCACTGGCGCCTTTGAAAATGGCTGTCATCTGGACCACGTGATCTGTATGACCGTCGTACAACAGCAGTACGAGGCTGGGTCTGCGAAGCGTAAGTAATTCCAGTTTTGCTATATACGAGCAGTAGGGAAGTATTCATTTTTTCACGTCAGAAAGGTGTAGGCAAGCACATTTATTGTGAAGTTAATCACCCAGAAGCTAGGAAACGTGATTCTCACAGCACGGTACCACCATCGCTGAAAGTTGCGAATACATAGACGTTTTGAAGCAAATGTGCATGCGCGCCACAATAACCGACCTTCAGGTATATTTTCCTCTTATCAGTTCGCTTCACTTCATCATTACCACAGCTATACTCCGTTTCACCTTATGTCGTACCGCAGAGAAGGCTAGAAGCGCGAGCTCACAGCGTTGGAAGCTGCTCTTAATGCGCGAGAGCTTGTGCCACCGAGACGTGCCCTATACTTTGTTTCAGCTTCCGTCCGAGCGCAGCCAAAGCTACGTGTGGCTGGAGCCAATCCCACGCCGGCAATAGGTCACGCGATCTTGCCTGCACTTTTGTATCACTCCGCTGCGCTGCTGGTCGTACGCGCCGCCCGTGCTCGCCGAGGATTTCGTCTGCTACCGGTGTATCAACGGTATCGTCTGCTACAGGTTTAAAAAGTGTCTTTTCACGTTCTGAAATTTAGTCAGAGGGGATGTGAGTACGTAGGGTGGCCGCTGGCGTCTGTGTCCGAGCTTTCCACCATTTCGCCATAGTTTCAAGATGTAAGTACACATTGCAAGGTGCCCGATGACCCGGCCGTGGTTGTTTCCTTGTATTGTCTGGATATACCGTGGCTCGAGGCGCAGTCCTTTCCCCCAGCTTCTCAACGTTCAATGTGATTGGCAGGTAAATGGCTGCACTGATTTCGCCGCGTATTAGGGAATTGTATAGTGGCCCACACTGTAAAAAATGTACGTAAAATATACGTGCATTTTCACAATCAAAAAATACGACGCGCTTTCGTATTTTTAAAAGATGAGTTGTGATCGTTTCTCGGAGTGAACGGGGCGAAAAGCGCGCGCGGCGAGCCGAGAGCCAGCGGAGCATGCCAGGCGCCTGGACGCCGAGCATGCGCAGAGAAGGGCGAACCCGACCCGTGCTCGACCTCGACGCCCGGAGGCCCCCCTCTCCCTTTCCGGCGCATCGTCGCGTTTGTTCATGTACCGCCAGTACCGCCGCGTGTAGGACGTACTAACAAACTTTCTCTTTACGTCCGCGCGGCAATCACAACCTCGTGGTTTTTGGCGTTGCCTTATAAGCCGTGCCCTCCATTCGTTCGTTGCGGGAAGCGGCGTCCAAAGGTATGCACTACTCCAACAAACTTTCTATGTAATATCGGAGACAATATGAGCGTGAACGCGCCTCCGCTTGTCACTGCGGAAGCGCGTTCACGCTCATATTGTTTCCGATAGCACTTAACCCTTTCGCGCAGCAATCGAAGCCTCGTGGTTTTTGGCGTGGCCTGTTTGGCTGTATCGCGCCGTTCCCTCCGTTCGTTCCTGGCGGAGCGACGTCCAAAGGTATGTGAACACTACTTTATTGCTTCAAAGAAACATCGAAAGGCATAAAAAGAAGGATGGAGCTTTTTGAAATCGGTACTCCAAAGAACATGTTGTATACACCACAAAGTGCTACTGGTCCCCGCTCTGCATTGCCGTCGGTAGTGTCTGCGGTGCTGCATGAGGACCGAGTGTGAGTGCGTCCTTTTGAATAACTTTTGTATTTAAAATCCAATACATTTGGCGTGTCTTTAAAGGTTCAAATTTCAAACGTGCTTACCTGAAACTGGTCATACAAACATTTTTGAGCCAAGAGTATTATGTTTTTTCTCTTATTCGTCAACTCTGAAGCCGTGAAATCTTAAAAACAGAACAAGAACGGCTACAGTGCATATTTTCGTTGCCGTCGGCTCCGGTAATGTAGTACTGAATGCAAAAAAGAAGCCTCCTCTATCCTACAAGAGGCTGGTGTCCAGCAAAATAATCGCGTTAAATAATGATTTGATCGAGGCGTTTGAAAAATTGTGCATTTCTCGGAACAATGTTAGTGCCTTCTTTTTGCAAATCTGGATAGCTCGCCGAGTGAATTCCTGTGCCCCTTGTAAATCGCGAGCGATCTCTCTGTGTGTTGCGCTTGTAGATCGGGAGACGAACTGATGTTCCCAAGGAGGTAGAGCGCGTAGAGCGGTTGAAAGAAATTCGCTGCGTAGTGGTTCCGCATAGGCTCGCGCGGTTGACGTACGTATATTCACTCGCGACATTTCGGTTTCGATGTTTATGCCGCCGTGTTCGTCACAGCCGCGACAGCGATCGTATCCATTTCGCTGGCAGTACTTTTGATGTCATGTTACCAGGAAAAACAACCGGACGAACGGTTGTTTTTCCCATTTCGTTCTGGGGACGCCCAAACGAATAAGCAAGACGAAAGAAAAACAAAAAAAACAGGTGCAACCTTTTTTTTGTGTAATGTAGATCTTTCATAAATAAACGTTTCTTCATTTTAAAATATTTGTTAATCTGGGTAATTGGTCATTTAATTTGTAAAAATAAATCTTCATCGCAATTATATCGTTCATCGCCAGCTGCAAACTTTGCCAGCGTGCCAAACGTGCCAGCTTTTACAGTCACACCGAGTACATTTATGCAGACGGTAAGTTCAAAAAGGTTTCCGTTACCTGGTCCATGCAAATTCAAGCGTGTACATAATGTTAATTTGTTTTTCATAACTTTTTTCTTACCCAAACATGTATCACTGTTTTGTGTGGCTATGTGACCCTGTGTTATGTTGTGGCGGAAAGTGAGTCATGTAGAATAACTGACATCAGCAACATCTCAAATTATGTGTACACCACTTGACTAACTCTATCAATGAGTGTGTTGGTATAAGTAGGCCAAACATCAAAAGGCAAAACGGAAGTGTGCAGCGCTTTGGAATCAGACAGTGCATATTTTCTGGTCTATAGACCTTTGCAGAAATCCCCTGCTGCGCGCTGCCATCTTTGTCTGCTGGGCTGTGGAACGCCTTCTAAGCATGCGCTGTTGATCTGCTGAGCGGTATATCGGGCGCTGCGCATGCGTCCACAGCTCAGTGACTCAGCATTTTTTACCCGCTCGCTTCGTTCGAGACTGCCGCTGGAAAGGTCTATAGTCTGCAGACTATGCATGTATAAAAGTTGTTTTTTTATGTTGTGCAGACTATCTACAGATACGGGTTATACTATGCACTAATTTTTGTTTCTAGATCCTTCGTTAGCACCAGACTGGTCTGATTGGCTTGCAGATTTTCAAATGTTTTATGCCGGGATTAAGAAGTGAACGTCACACTTTCAATCTGTTGCTCAGGCTTTCTATGCCTTGCGTGTGACACACTGCTTGCTTGGATGCCTGCAAGCGGTCAATGTGGGTCAAGCTGAGAGCTCTGCGGTTCACCCAGGAGAGGTGCACAAGAAAATCCAGACTTTCGTCCGCAAATATCTTTTGTGCGAGAGGTGCGGACTGACAGACTATGGATGTTAGCTTTTCAGCCTACGTTTTGCCCTGCGGACTATGCATTGAGCGCCAACTATCCAAACGAAACTTATTTTTTAGGCAAAATTGGCTCCTAGGGTCTTTAGACCGGAAAATACAGTACATTAAAGCACTTGTTGCTTACGCTAGAAAGTTAAACGAACCCTGCCGTCAGTGTTCACTGTCTTTTGAGCCATAACTTCCCTGTCAATCATGTTCGGGAACCGACAGTTGGAGCTCAGTCATTAAAATCAGCATAACATGCTGATGGTAATTTAACAGAAAGGGCTTTCGCACCGTCCTCCCTGGAAATTATTTCGCGCGCCTAATTTTTCTCTGTTTCCCCAGACCTACAGAAGGGCTCTTTATGTCCCTCTGTCCGGTGGTGGTCGCAAGCGAGGCCTGCACCGTTATTGCCATCACCATAGTCTGAAGGTATGTATACACCACCTGACAACTTCCATAGAGGAGTGTGCTCAAACATTAAAGGGCCAAATGCCAGCGTGCTGCTCTTTTAAATTGGGCAACACTCCAAACCATGTGTTTTATAGGCAGAAAAGAAGTTTTGTACTTGAGCGGTCTGCGGTGGTGGTATTTCACTCTCTGCGGAGTTGTAACTTTCTTGTGAATCATGCTAGAGCAGCGCAATTTGAAGCCAAATCACCAGCAACCATAACATGGGGATGGCTAATTCACATACTCTCTCCTCTGTGGTAATTACTGCAGGCGTCTAATGTTTCTCTTTTTTACCCAGACCTACAGCAGGGCTCTGTCTGGCTCTGCGTCGCTCTGTCCAGTGGTGGTTGCAAGCGAGGCCTGCACCGTAATTGCCATCACCATACTCTGAAGGTATGTATACACCACTTGACTTCTTCCACAGAGGAGTGTGCTCAAACATCAAAGGGCCAAATGCCAGCGTGCTGCTCTTTTAAATTGGGCAACACTCCAAACCATGTGTTTTATAGGAAAAAAAGAAGTTTTGCACTTGAGCGGTGGTGGTATTTCACTCTCTGCGGAGTTGTAACTTTCTTGTGAATCATGCTAGAGCAGCGCAATTTGAAGCCAAATCAATAGCAACCATAACATGCGGATGGCTAATTCACATACTCTCTCCTCTGTGGTAATTACTGCAGGCGTCTAATGTTTCTCTTTTTTACCCAGACCTACAGCAGGGCTCTGCCTGGCTCTGCGTCCCTCTGTCCAGTGGTGGTCGCAAGCGAGGCCTGCACCGTAATTGCCATCACCATAGTCTGAAGGTATGTATACACCACCTGACAACTTCCATAGAGGAGTGTGCTCAAACATCAAAGGGCCATATGCCAGCGTGCTGCTCTTTTAAATTGGGCAACACTCCAAACCATGTGTTTTATAGGCAAAAAAGAAGTTTTGCCCTTCAGCGGTGGTGGTATTTCACTCTCTGCGGAGTTGTAACTTTCTTGTGAATCATGCTAGAGCAGCGCAATTTGAAGCCAAATCACCAGCAACCATAACATGGGGATGGCTAATTCACATACTCTCTCCTCTGTGGTAATTACTGCAGGCGTCTAATGTTCCTCTTTTTTACCCAGACCTACAGCAGGGCTCTGTCTAGCTCTGCGTCGCTCTGTCCAGTGGTGGTTGCAAGCGAGGCCTGCACCGTAATTGCCATCACCGTACTCTGAAGGTACGTATACACCACTTGACTTCTTCCACAGAGGAGTGTGCTCAAACATCAAAGGGCCAAATGCCAGTGTGCTGCTCTTTTAAATTGGGCAACACTCCAAACCATGTGTTTTATAGGCAAAAAAGAAGTTTTGCCCTTCAGCGGTGGTGGTATTTCACTCTCTGCGGAGTTGTAACTTTCTTGTGAATCATGCTAGAGCAGCGCAATTTGAAGCCAAATCAATAGCAACCATAACATGCGGATGGCTAATTCACATACTCTCTCCTCTGTGGTAATTACTGCAGGCGTCTAATGTTTCTCTTTTTTACCCAGACCTACAGCAGGGCTCTGCCTGGCTCTGCGTCCCTCTGTCCAGTGGTGGTCGCAAGCGAGGCCTGCACCGTAATTGCCATCACCATAGTCTGAAGGTACGTATATACCACTTGACTACTTCCACAGAGGAGTGTGCTCAAACATCAAAGGGCGAAATGCCGGCGTGCTGCTCTTTTAAATTGGGCAACACTCCAAATCATGTGTTTTATAGGCAAAAAAGAAGTTTTGCACTTGAGCGGTCTGCGGTGGTGGTATTTCACTCTCTGCGGAGTTGTAACTTTCTTGTGAATCATGCTAGAGCAGCGCAATTTGAAGCCCAATCACTAGCAACCATAACATGCAGATGGCTAATTCACATACTCTCTCCTCTGTGGTAATTACTGCGGGCATCTAATGTTTCTCTTTTTTACCCAGACATTTGTAGTTAACTTTTGGAATTGAAACAAGCCCACAGACATCAAAATAGCTTGTACAGTGGGACACCTGTTCTACAATTTAAATGTAACACAGATTCGACAAACATTTTGCTATTTTTGGATCGTTGACTAATGAAAAGCTGGGTCAATTAAACCAGGATGTCAAATGAACACATTTAACGCACACTTTCAGTATAGGAATCTGCCTCTTCTGGACATTTGATACTTTATGAACCTCTGCCGTTGGTTACATAAGCACAGCATTATGGCAGTATTCATCGGTTATGTTATTTCTTATTTCAAAAACTCTCCCATTTCAGGCCGGAAGTTCACATCACTAAAACTGCATCATGTACAGTTGCCATGTGTGCAAGCTGCGACAGAAAAACTTGTATCACTATGAGAGACACTATAGGCTTCATTCAACAAGTCACAACCTAAGTTTGCCCTGCTTGAAAGAATGGTGTAGCAGGTCTTTCCGCTCATTCAATGCCCTAAGAGTGCACACGTCAAAATGTCACAGTGGGCAGAAATCTCATCACGACGGGAGAGAATATGTTTGCCCTCACGCATTCTGCTCACAAAAGGTTTGGAGCAGACTGGAAATGACCAAACATATCAAAGGCCACATCAGTTCAGGCCTCAAGACAAGTTGCTTCATGGAAAACTGCAGAAGGCAGTTCCAGAACTCAAATACATTCTCGGCGCACATGAGTCGCTGTCATAGTCACCAGGCAAAACCCCCATCGTCATACAGTCAACATGATTATGATAGTGATGGTGCACAACCTAGAACTGACATGGAGAACAGTGAGTCTCTTTCATTCGCGCACAGTGCTGAACAGGCAAACACATCTTGTGAGGGCCCTGGTGAGGCATCGTTAGAAACAACACATCTGGCCTTGTTTTTTATGAAGTTGGAATCAATGCACCTAGTGCCTGCATCAGTTGTCCAGAGTATTGCCAATGAGATGTACTTTCTTGAATCTGTAGCTAAAGACAGCAAAGTTTCAGGCATTTGTAGAGTTCTGGAATGCTTCGATGTCAGCGCAGAAGTATGCCATGCAGTTGTGGCAGAACTGAAAGCTGAGCAATCTCCTCTGTGCCCAGACAGTGGGGTCTTGCGTAGTATGCATTCGAGGAGCCAGTTCTACAGAAATAATTTTGTCGTGATAGACCCTGTGGAAGTTAAATGTGCGCATGCTAGAAGTTTTCACTATGTGCCAGTGAAGGAAACACTAGAGGCTTTCCTTTCTGACATTTCTGTTCAGAAGCTACTCTCTCGCACAAACGATCTGGAGCCTGGCTTTCTCCAAGACATCACTGATGGGAAGCTCTATGGAGAGTCCAATTTTTTTATTGCTGGTGAGAACACCATTCAGCTACTATTATTTCAGGATGCATTTGAAGTTGCTAACCCTTTAGGATCTGCCAGAAAAAAACACAAAATCTTGGGGATGTACTACACCATCGCTAACATGCCACCATTCGCTCAAACAAAAGTTCATGCGATGCAGTTAGTAATGTTGTGCTATGAGTCCACCTTACAAAAAGTGGGACATGATGTTGTGATGAAGTCTCTTGTATCAGACCTTGCAGATCTTGAAAAAGATGGTGTTACAGTAAATGGAGTCAGATACAACTGCGGCTTGTTGTCATGTCTCGGTGACAACCTCGGAAGCCACGGGATAGGGGGCTTTGTAGAGTCGTTTTCAAGGTCAAAATATTTCTGTCGCTTTTGCGAAGTGACAAGAGATGCCTTTATGGCCGATTTTAGATCGATGGGACCTCGCCGTACGGCTGAGAGCTATGAAAAATGTCTAAAGCGCATCAAGGAAGAAGGACTAGACTCATGTCTTGGGGTTAAGTTTGACTCATCCCTAAACTCACTCCTGAGTTTTCATGCCACGTCTGGCCTGCCCCCGTGCATTGCTCACGACCTATATGAGGGTGTAGTCCCATATGACCTATCGCTTATCCTTCGGAGACTCGCCATTGAGAAGAAGTGGTTCAGCATTGAGGAACTCAATTCAAGAATAGCGAACATGAAGCTTAAGGGGCATGACTCTAAGAACCGGCCGTGCAAAGTTTCCTGTGAAGGAAACTGTAGAGGAGAGGCAGTAGAGACATTTTATCTTGTCAGATTTTTGCCCGTCCTGCTCTTTGACAAGGTCAGAGATGTGGAAGATGAGGCGTGGCAGCTATACCTCATCCTAAAAGACATTGTAACCATCTTGGCATCGCCTCAACTTCATGTGACTCAAATAGAGTACTTGCGTGCTCTCATTGATGACTATTTGTCCCGTAGGGTACATCTGTTTCCTGGCATAGCTCTAAAACCCAAACATCATTATCTGAGGCACTACCCCGACCTCTGCTACGAATACGGTCCATTGTGCCATTTGTCAACGCTTCGCTTTGAGAGCAAGCATTCCTACTTTAAGCGAATCATACGCAGCACTCAAAATTTCAAAAATATTACTTACTCTATGGCAAGGAAGCACGAGATGCTTCAGTCATATTGCAGAGCGGGCAAGCTTTTTCCAGATGAATTGCTTCAAGAGCATGCATTGTCTTTTGTAGAGGGAATGTATTCAAAAGAACTCACTGATGGTGTAGTGAGCTGTGGCATTCAACTGTCAGCTGCTGAAGTTAGTCAAACATTGGTGTATCGAGGGACAGAGTATGTGGCGGGGTCGGTAATTTTTTTCCAACAGTGTAGGGAGCCAATGGCTGGCAAAATAGTTTGCTGTATCGTTGAGCACGGGAAGGTTGTGTTTGCGGTAGAGGCATGCAAAATAACAACATGGGCAAGCATGGGACTGAAAATTGTAAATTGTTGCAGAGGTAGTTTTCTGTGTGTTGCTTACAGTCAGCTTCTGGATTTTTCTCCTTTGCACATTTATGCCTGTGGAACAAGGAATGTGGTTTCCTTGAAACATGATGTGGAATATACTCCTTACCTGTAGAGCCCTGTGTATCTGTGGGTATCCACAGTGAACTGGTGGATGCAATATCTTAATAAAAAGAAAATCAAACAGCTTATGAAGTGTGACTGCGAGGGAATCTTTTTTAATTCACGCTTGTGTTTATGATATAGGAGAAATGTAAAGGAACACTTTGGATGACCGGTAGAAAAGAAAGTCGAAGATACAGTTCAGGTGTGGGTATAAAGTCTCCAGATGCAGATTGCATGATCAGATCGCTGTATTCATGCAGGGTTTTGCATATCTGTAGTTCTCATCACAGTGATGCTTTGCCAGGCTCCTTAACGCTTTAGAATGCCTTTATAAAAATAGCTAAGTGTCTCCTGTCACTTTTTTTTTTTTGATAGTAAAGGAAATTTAATCTAATCACATTGACTGTATTTCTCCCCTAAAATAAAGATGGACTCTGTAAGGGCAACTATAACACAACTGGTACCCGAGATACCCGATGACCAACTTGACGCACTGGTGACCCACCTTGTGGAGGAGGGATACAGTACAGCAAAAGACCTTCTATACTTGGAAGAACAGGACTTAAAGCCTTTCCTCAAGACCTTGCATATCAGGAAGCTTTTACATCTCATAAAATCTGGGTCCCAACTGCAAACTGCAAACTGTGCACTTCCCTCAACATCAGCAGCTTCAACACCGACAAACCCAGCGGCAGCCACGGCTCACCGCGCATCACAAGAGAGGGCTTCGAAGGACCGCTGGGCGAGTTCTTTTGAAGTGGATTGGGGCGCAATGCCTGCAGATCTGGTACGAACCTGCCAAGAGGAGAAGGTGCCAGAGCCTTACCTAAGACGAAAGATGGTCAAACTCCTGGGAGAAGCAATCGCAGTGCATGATCCGAAACCCAAAATCAAAGAAGTAAGCAAGATTGCCTCCCTGGTTGTGGCAAGATACCCACACTCCTTTGCTGACGTGATGTCGACAGGAAATATTATTGGTGACGGTACGTCATCTTTATCACGACAACTTGCTGTATACATGGATAACAGGCGTCGGCCACACAATGCTGCAAAACGAGGGCCGGGAAGAACTGAAGATGACGAACCAGAAGCGACATTATCTAAGCAAGGCAGACAAACAGACTCCCACGGTTGCGTGGCATGGGAGCCAGACTGTGCGCCATACACGTGGGACGATCTAGAGGTAATGAGGCAGCAGCTGTGCAAAGCCACCAATTTAGAGGAGATCTCCTCTACTATGAAGAAAACCTACGCACTGCAAAGGAGGCACATCAACTCCATGCAGCAAACACTCCTTGAAATTGCGGAGTCTTGGCCTCACCTCTTCAAAGAGCCACACTTCTTCGTTCATGTTGATACACTCCTTGGGTTTTCCTACCACACTGCCTTCACCACTGAGCTGACGTCGAAAGGAAATCAGCTCTTTGATGTCATGTGGAGAGCATGGAAGCCTCAGTCAAGGTCCCTCCTCCAGACAATCCAGAAAACTTTGGACTGCAATGGACAAGCGCCACCACGCTACACCTTTGTTCTTCAGCTCCTGACTACCTACTTCGACGAGAATCCAGAGGCTCTCATCTCATTTCACCCGGTGAGCTTGGTAATCTTATTCCATGAACTTGTTTAGTTATTCATAAATGTATGCAATCAATTGCAGAGGTCAACTCTGTGAGGCAGTGATCATCTGCTCTGTTGACTGCAATTCCTTGTGTGAAGTGCATAATACCACGCACAATATTGTTCATGGCATTTAAATATTAGCTGCAAAAAGTTTATTAATTTAATTTCTCGATTCTCAGCCTTGCTGACCAATTTTTTACCATGGAAGTATCTGTTTTCTTATCAATAACAAGTACACCATTAAATATTCTTGATTTTTGTATTCATTATAGCACTCAACAGCTGCCAGTGTTCTTGGCTCCTGCCCAGATACACCTCACCTTGCGGTCCTTGGTGAGATAGTTTTGCACTGCCTTTTAATTTTTAGATAATTAAGAAAATTGTGAAAGGAGTAGTGCAATTACAGTCTAAGCTCGTTATAATGGCCCTTGTTATTGACCAGGGCTGGGCTTTCGATAGTATACTTGACACCATGGAAAATTACATTTAGGTACTGATACAAGATACAGACGCAAAGTCCATCTTTGATCTAAATGCTCCATGCAGTATCCTAGATGCTTCGATACATAGCTGAAATTCCATCGCAAGTATTTGGAAAGCAGGAAACCTGATTAATTTACATTGATTATAAACATTTCTCACCTGGATTTTATGGGTTCTGGTATTGATATTTTTCATAAACGTTTTTTGTTAGCTTTGCATGTTAGCTGCGGAGTCCAACAAGGTACCGTACTCGGCCGACTTATTTTTTATTTATATTAACAACCTTCCTGCACGTATCTCCTCTTTCATAGGCCTCTATGTTGACGATTGTGTTATTTATAAAGAAATTCTTAACGATTCTGGGTTAGGAGGCGATTTGATTGTGTTATTTATAAAGAAATTCTTAACGATTCTGGGTTAGGAGGCGAATTGATGGAGTGGAGGAAATCGAGAGATATCGGTCTAAGTCCACGATTGCACAAACACATAATCACACAAGGGAGTGAGGAGGAGGGGGAAGAAGGAATAAAGGGGAAGGAGGGTGAGGTGGATGGCAGAGTGGGAAGGAAGAGGGATATAGAGGAGAAGGGAGAGGAGGAGCAAAGAGGAGGAGACGACGGAATGAAAGGGAGAAGGGAGGGGAGCTAGAAGGGATGGGGGACACGGGAGGAGGAGAGGTCAAGGGTCCAAGGTCAGGGTCACCTTTTACCTTGACAAACGCACAGCCAACAAGGGAGAGAGGAGGAAGACAAGGGGATGGGAGTGACGAGGGTAAACGGGGGATAGGGAGAGCTGGAAATGAGGAGGGCAGGGAACCAGGAAAGAAAGAGGCCAAATGCTACTGGCCACGATTGCCTTGATAGCTCTCTGCCGAGCTCAAAGGCACGCTTAGCAGAGATCTTGAAATTTTTATAGACCGTTTTGTTAATCCCGATGACGATACCCTTCCATTGCCCTTAAACGTGTTTCTTTAGTGGGTATCACTTTAGGACTGAAAATCCGGCTTACTAAAACCCTCTAATGATGATATATTGCATTGCATTAGTCCACTTATCGGCCTTCAACTGAGGAGATGTCAGTTCAACAAAGATGCCGGTGTTGTCTGTCTGCCCTTTTACAGAAGGTGTTACCCGACCCGTTCCCACAGTTCCAAAAAACAAAATTGTGCAATTTGCATGTACAGCTCACAAAATAGAAAGAAGGATAGCCTGGTTTTGCCAGAAAGAAAATGAACTGGAAGTGAGCTTTAAAAGTTAATGCTAATTTCTTAACTATTGGGTATCTCCAAAATACTCGATACTGTAAAAATGGGTATTAGGTACTGATACATTGATACATTTTTTCCTGGCAGGCAGTACCAGATACAAGGTACTCGACTGTCTCTGAAGTTAGTATTGGAGATACATGCATCTCTGATATCGCCGAGCCCTGGTTTTGACTACTATTTCGCTCTGTTGTAAAAAAGGATTATGTATTATTCAGATAGGAAGTTGAATCAGTGGTGCAAATAGGAAAACCAACTGAGCTTCACAAATCAGTATGTTGTATCCAAGTTTCTGCTGCAACAAGATCTGTTGTAACGAGCTTGTACTGTATTCCAATGCAGAGCATCCATATTTCCTAGTTTACCTCATTGCAATGTCCTTTCTGTCATCCATTTGAACCGTTACGATTGCAATAAATTAACTACATCTGTAACATGTCGGTTTGATGATCATCACATCTTGCTTTTTTTTTTTTTTTTACTTAGGTTCTACGCTTCTAGATGACCCTCTCCAGATTGCGCTGGTTGTTGACAGGGTGCTTGTGTTTGAGGCAAGCAGTCTCGAGGTCGCTCTCTGCTCGCTCCTGGGAGCGTATTTCGTCTTCAACATCAAGTACCCAAAGGAGGCCTCGTACACGCTGGAGTTCCTTCAGAGGTACAGATATGTCAGAATTCAGTGTTTGTTCATGGCAGGACTGGTGGTCGATTATGCTAGTGCACCGCAACCCTGAACATGTGGACCTAGACCTCGCACTGCAGAGTCCAGGAATCCACAGTCGGACTAGCGCCTCACCTGTTCTAATCTTGATAGGCATTATACTGGCATCTGTTCGTGTATCACTACTGCATGTTGGCTCTAAAGGCCTCGGGTTAGCAGCCATACTGCACGAGATATTTTGCTGCGCAGTGTGAACCAGCCACCGACATGTGAAAGTCAGCCCAAAGGCAGGCTGTATAAACACGCACAAGGACATCTCGACATCTTTCACCCAAGAATGTGAGTTGTTCATGTTCAATTGACATGCGTTTCTTTGACCTCTTATACAGGCATTTTGGCCAGATAAACCCATCTAAAGGTAGCAAGTCCAGCTCCCGTGGTCACAACAAGGTCAATGGAATCCCAGCCAGAATTCTAGGTCTGCTGAACAAGATTCGTTCACTCTAATGGTGTGTTTTCTATTTTCGTCTTTCCCTCTTATATTTTGTGATGCTTGATTTTTGCTATTGCAGATAAAAATTTGTTTTATCGGATCAAAAAAAAGAAAAAGACGTTTACAACACCCTGTAACGCCGAATTAGAGCATAGCCCTTGAGGAGGAAGAGGGGAGGGTATACCCTTCCTCCTCTCCTCCCTGTCCCTCCTCTGCTCCTCATCCCTCTTCCCTTCTCTTCTCCTCTTCCCCTCCTCCTCCCCTCGTCCTCCTCCACACGTGTTGCATCATGGGAAAGGTCCTATAATGCACCGCGCAGTTACGGCGACGCCGACGCCGCTGAAGCCGGTAAAGAGGCGCCCAAGAGCTGCGCTGGAAGGAATTCCTTTAATTCGATTTTCTTTTTCTAATTTGACCGATGGGGATACGAGACTAAAGGCGAAAATGTTTCTAAAAGTTCCTGTACTGCCTTCAGTTCTTACAAATGGTACACAATATAAAAGAAAAAGCAAGGACATATGCGGCAGCCCTGCAGCATAAATTAAAGAGACAGTGTTTTATTTATAGTGCTAGATGGAATTAAAATGATAGACAGATTAGATAACTTGATTTTATATATATTATTCATATTAGGTACAATGAAGGCTCGCATACCGCCGCCTACCATTAGAATCTTGAGGTCCTTGTAAATTTACAAAAATATTTGTTAATCTATGTTTTAATTGTTACAGCGAGGGCCAAAGGAATCTAGCCCACAAATTTATATACATCGCAAAAATCAGTAAAAATAATTTGGGTTATGTGGATAGTTATACAGCGTGTAGTTAGTCAGCCATTTCAAAGTTGTGACGAATAACTCGCTGTAGATGAGCGATTTAGCCAGTGCAGTAGAACCACTAGCCTGCGGTCTTTAACAAGCACACGCAGTAGTGAGACACGACCGCATGCGGGTACGATGCTCATCCAGTTCAAATGAGCATGTGTGGGGATTTAACCCAGGATCCCTAAGTTCTGCAGTGCGAGCTCTCGCTCCACATGCTCCGATCTGGTGTGCGCTAGCCGACTTGACCCCCCCCCCAAAAAATCAGTCTTGCTTGCTACGGTAGTGT